ATATGGAAGCGATGTCTGGCGGAACCTAACACAAACTGAAGAGAAAATACTAAATCGTGCTAATGCCTTTGCTGCAAATTAATCCGATGTCTCTACACAACCACCAGTTCTCATGGAGCCCTTGGCGTTTGGGATGTGGCAAACAACTGACACCTTGAAAAGCACCTATTTCTATATAGAGTATTTTCACATCTTCATCAGGAGAACTCTCGAAATATCGGTTTCGCAGCGCATATCTATAAAATACTTGAAACATACAACCTAATGGGCTACGTCACAACCTACCTAGCAACAGCTGAGTTTCGCAACCGTTAGTTTCGCAAAACCAAGTGGAAGAAAATGGTTAATTTAAAGAACAAATACATTAAAAACAAACGGATTTTGGAAAGAAACCATTAGTGCAAAACCAAACTTAAAGTACTTGAAAAAATGTCACACCAGTTTAAAGCTGCTTCAACACTGGAGTGTAAGAAGGCGCAATCCATGCGTGCGAGAAATAATAGCTAACCTAACCTGCGATCAGGCCTATCAATAAATAAATAGGCCTGATACAAATCTTAACAAAAGTCCATGCCGTTACAACCGTATTACGGTTGTAAATCTGATTGGTCTATTAGACAAAAGATTTTTTAATCTGTCATTTGATTGGTTGTTGCTAATTAGATTACACTATTGTTGTTGATATATTTTATAGTGATCACAACTATAATTAGATTGTTATTGTCATTGCATGAAATTTAAATTTCTCCTGCGACATTTTGATTGGATACTAAATATTAGCTTTGCTGTGGGCGGAAAGCGATCGGATTAAGGTTTGTGTCAGGCTTATTTGCAAAATAGAGCCTGATAGTCAGGTTATAGCTAACCTACAATCACTTTCAGAAGTTGTTGGCACACATGTAGCTTTAGATTGTAAGTGGATCATTACAACTTTTTACGCACAATACCTCTCCCCTCCCCCTCCCCCTCCCCCACCCCAATCAATGTTGCTCCAACCAAAACACATCAAACCTGACGAGAAATGGGACACGACATTGAACAGGGGGGAGGGTGATTGACGTTTGTTGAAATTCAAAGGTTTTGTGGCATATGTCCCAAGACTTTTGAAACTGATTGTCTGAAAGGCATATTTAACCTCTTTGAATTACCAGGTGTTTTAGAATGTCAGTTTCGCGAAAATCATATAGCTTTTAGTATAACATGTTTACTGAATTGCATTGGCATCTGTTATGTCCTTACTGTGCTATTCGGTTGTGGTCAATATCTTTAAAATGTAACACAATCCAGCAGTATATTATGAATGAGCTTATACTGAAAGATGTGAGTGTGGGGAGGGTAGTATGCCGAGCGATTAAACCTGGTCTATATGCAAGGGAGAAAACACATCTATTTGGTTAATTATCGACCTAGGTTAATGCTAAGTAAAATGCAAGGATAAGTTATCGAAGACCATGCACTTAAAGATTGTGCATATTTGACATGAAAACATGTATGTAATATAAAACGGCTTGAACACGTTCTGGATTGACACTCGGTTGTCACTTTGAAACACATAGCATTTTCATTGATATAACTTTAAATTGTCGCGGCATAACCATTTTCAGAACATTAAGTACTAAGCAAACGTGTTTAGGGAGAGCTTATTGATATATTACGGGTTCTACTTAATCACAAAGTATACAAATTGTATAAAATGTATCGATTGACACTCAACTCTAGAAATATCACTATGATATATCAGATTTATTTATGTAAAAAAGTGTCAATCGATCCAAAACTTGGTTTAATCAATTTCAAACCCTTTCATTAATAGCAAATGCATTGTTAGACATTCTCAACAGTCTCAATAGATAATTCGTAGCCTTGTTCTGTTTTAAAATATGTCTAGTTGCCTGTTATTTCATATTTCTATAGTGACAATCGAAGTGTCAACCGATGTTAGTTTCATTGCATTCGTCTCGTTCGGAAACGCTTATTAGCATAATTAGCGTATAACACTAACGTCAGTGTTGTATAATGCGTACAAAGCCGTATACTGCGAGTCCCTTTCGTTACATATTTTTGGAAGCCTGTTCAACTTTCTTGCTTCGGCGGGTCGTGCTAGTACTCGCTATCGCGTCAGCATTGGAGAGGTCTATAAGCCCTGGAGAAATCACCTAGTCCGGGTCTTCCTTTACCATGTACGAATACGCTGAATAGTAATTTTTGAGATTGTCTGCGGAAAGGTTCAATTAAATGCCACATTTACTCTTCTCGAGCTTTACGATAGCTCGCCACCTCGATCTTGTGGACATTTTTTTGCCGTGTGGAAGTGACTACCGCCCTTTCCATGAGCCTCCGACATTCCCACCTCCTACCCATGCGTCGACAAGTATATCTGCAAATTCTGCTCTAGAAAGATGTGAAATGTCACATTGACCATAAGTGATTATAAAGCAAACGTTCTTTACCTTCGCAGTACCGAAATTAGCAGTTGACTCAGCCATTATCAGCATTCGAAAGTAACCGGATGTTATATTACTGTGCTATAAATTAACAGTAAGTGAGACTTATCTAGCGTAAAACATCAGTTCGCGATACCTATCTTTATATTGAAGGACTATATATAACCTCTCAAATAACCCACTTGTGCTCTGCCGAAATTTATAAAAAACAAACAGCGATTAAGAATGCTATATGACATAACAAGTTATATTCATATCCTGTTAATTACTAACTTTGACAATTTTAATGGAACTTAATTGTTTTAAAATGTTATATTAGATCTTCTGAAAACGAAATGGAGCAGAAATACTTCGTTCGCAGAGCATTCTATCCTCTGTAATTTGAGATATACAATGGTGTTATGGCATACGGGGCCCAGACAATCACTTTCAGAAGTTCTTGGGACACATACGGGGCACAGACAATCACTTTCAGAAGTTGTTGGGACACATGTAGCTTTAGATTGTAAGCGGATCATTACAGTTTTTTACACACAATACCGCTCCTCTCCCCCTCCCCCTCCCACCACCCCAATCAATGTTGCTCCAACCAAAACACATCAAACCTGACGAGAATTGGGACACAACATTGAGCAGGGGGCGGGGGGATTGACGTTTGTTGAAATTCAAAGGTTTTGTGGCATCTGTCCCAAGACATTTGAAGCTGATTGTAGCTAGTAAATTTGTGATGTGGAAATGTCCCAGCACTGATGTTATCAGCTGTAATACAAACGATACTGAATATGTATCTTGCGATGAAAGCCTGCTTGATGTTGGAGAACACTAGCTTAAGTTTGTAATAAACTGTTCAGCTTTACGAATCTTGAGCGTAAAACAATGTGGGACAATTTAATGGATAGCTTTCGCCTTCCTATACAAAGCATGTGCTATATCCTCAACCTAGAAGAAGAAGATCTACACAACCCTATTGAGTAGAAACTGTCCCTCTCTTACCACAGGGGAACTTGATAGACTTCTGACAATAACAGCAGGCGGAATATTTAACATATTCCTAAAAGTGCATGATCTTATTTCGATACAAGTTTACGAATAGTGTAGATTAATTAACTGCAAATATTGACACTTTCATAATTCATAATTCTTAACTAGGCTTTAAAATTTTAATAATGACTTTAACTATTTTAATAATATACATATAGGATATTAGACGGTTGCAAAAAGATATGGATTTTATGTTCGAGTGGCAAAAACAATATGTCGCGAGTGAGCGCAGCGAACGAGTGAGATATTGTTTTTGACACGAGAACATAAATCCATATCTTCTCGCAACCGTTTAATGTTCTGTTTATTATATGGACTTACTCAGAGTGACAACAATACACACAAAGACGACATGTAAATAAGTACGCGAAAGACCAGTATAAAAGCGATATTTTTTAAAATTGTACTGCAAACATAAAACTAGAATAAATTTTACTTACCTCAACATGTCTTTTAAATGTTTTCGTTTTATTTCCAACGTTAATTTCGTTTTAAATACGAACCGTACCAAAACCATTTGTATTTTTAAAACAACAACAGTGAAAATGGCGGGAAATTTTCATAACTTCGTATGTCACTAGCAGGGGTGAAATACGGAAAATACGCGCACCTGGCCCCGCATGTAGTGACGTATGAGTTCTACGAATGTTTTAGTTTCCAGTAAAACACCATTGTCCATATAATAAATAAAGATATTACTCGACGGTGGTTGGTTGATTTCAGTGCAGTTAATTCCAAACAGCAGTGCAATTTTCTGTAATCAGAGTGCAATTTTCTGTAATCACAGTGCAATTTTTTGTAATCACATTGCAATTTTCTGTAATTACGGTGCAAAAATCTGTAACAAACTGGTCTGATTGGTGGAAAAACATTGTGATGATTAAATCAACCAATCATGCAGTTTAAAGCATTTTAGTTTAAACAAGTAACGTTCACAGATTGCTTCAAAACAAAACAAACATGGCGCCGCGCAACATAAAGTAAAAGGTGCCTTCGCGTGCGAAATATGGCTTTTATCTTTATTTTTAAATGGAAAAGCATATCCAATAAACAAGACTAACAAAAATTACATAGGTGAGTGGAATTTTCAAGCTGCTAGTGTTGTATCACGGGCTTTAGGACAAATTCAATTAGACAACAATAGTATTCTATCTAAATAGCAGTTAAAATAAAGTGTACGGCACCTGAATTAACTTGTTCAATTTCTTGTTTCTGTATCCATAAATTAACATTTACTGCATATATGCAAATACTGTATATTTTCAAAATCCGCCATATTTATTTACATTAGAATCCAAGCTTTCGCGGTTCACACGAAATATTAAAGTCGGTGATTTTCACTAATAATAAGAGGGTAGGATCATCCAAGATGGCCCAAAAGAAGTTAAAGCCGCTTTAAGGAAGGAATTCGACAAAGAATCGATCGACCATGAGAAAGCTGTCGACGAATTACGAGGTTTAAGGCGAAAAGGCGGTGAAACACCAGCACTGTTAGCGTGGAGAATCGAAAAGTTGATGGCAAAGGCTTACCCGGAGTTATGCGCGTCAACACACGAATCGGCAAAGAAAACAAAGGAACAAATGTTACATGATACCTTTTTGGGAGCTATTGACAATGCAATGAGTCGAAAGATAAAGAGCGACAGTAAACATCGAGATTTAAATTTAACACAACTTTCTGAAGAATTAGATCGGCTCGAGCTAATTTATAAAACAACAGCGCCAAAAGTAAACCTCGAAGTAAACAATTTCAAAACAACAGGGGAAGCAGAGGAAATATCGTTAATTAGAAAGATAATCAGAGAAGAGGTAGCAGCCGCCCTACCCCAAGAAAACGATGGAAGTCGGGAAACGGAGGACGAAACAAAACGTACGGTCGGGTTCGTTGGAAAGAGAAATATCCCGCCAAAACCTAGGAGTGGAAAAACCGGTAAAAAGCAAGCGTGTTTCCACTGCCAGTCGCCTGAACATTTTCTGAAAGACTGTCCATTTAAAGATCTTTGTCAACGCTGCTGGCAAAAGGGCCATACAGCACCGTCTTGCCATGCTCCAAGCCCTCGCCCTTCGCCGTCTTTAAACTCCAAGGCGGCTGGGAACAATCGTCAGCAAAAATAAATTCGTTCTCAGCCGCGAAGAAATTTATTACACTAACTGGTACAGTGGTTCAGTCTGGAAGCAGAGAGTTCAAACATGAGTTTGTTTGTGATTCTGGAGCAGAGGTTTCAGTTATTCCAACGGCGTTAGCACAAGAACATTACATGAAAATTCAACCAACTACACGTCACGTAGAGATGGCTAATGGAACACTCGCAGAATGCAGAGGTGTGGTTCAAACATCAGTTACGGTAGGGACAAATAGTTGTATATTGAGTTTTTTTGTGGTAAGTGATGCTGAAAACGGGATTCTGGGCCTGGACTCTTTGGAAAAATTGGGTGTATCGTGGAACACAAAAAAAAAGTTGGCAACAATAGATGGGGCCCAACCCGTGTTACAACTGGAAGTATATACCCCTCAGGAAATGCTAAAGTGTTGCCACATACAAGTTTCGGAAAGTCGTGATATTAAGCCATTTGAAGAAATATTCATTTGGTAGATTGGAAGATAAGAATGAAAAATTTACTAGAGATTCGTATATCAAAGGTACGGAATATTTTCAGCAGAGAACTGGGCTTCTTGCAGCCCCGATAAAGATTTCGGCAGAAATGATGAACGATGAAAATAAAATCCCCATATGCGTACTGAATACTGCTGATAAATCAATCAGAGTTTATAGAGAACAAACTGCGGCCACAATTCAGGAACTGCCCACAACATAGCGCATATTTCAGAGTCAAATATGGGGGGAAATAATCCATCATCACAATATGACCCGGTCCCAGAAGTATCAGTCGGTGAACAATTGACAACACAACAAAGAGAAAACCTAGAAGTTTTAATTCGAAAAAATACACAAGTTTTCGACTACCCAGGAAACAGTGGGTTCACCACAACAATAGAGTACACAATACCCACAGCCGTATCTGATCCAATTGTGTGCCACCCCAGACGAAACAACCTGGGGTTAACACAAAAAATTAATGAAGCAGTAGGAAACCATGTAAAGTAGGGGAACATTTGACACCCTCTAAATCCCCTTGGGCATTTGCAATTGTACCTGTATTGAAACCAGATAAAACAGTTCGATTGTGTGTAGACGACAGACCACTTAACAAAATTACCCAGAATGACCCATATCCAACTGGAAATTTGCAAGAGGTTCTAGACAATCTATCAGGTGCTAACTATTTTGGTGCTATTGACTTGGCCCAAGGCTATTTGCAGGTCCCACTGGCCAAGGAAGATCGTCCAAAGACAGCGTTTCGATCACCTACTGGGTTTTGGAAATGGACAAGAATACCAGATGGTTTAAAAGGAAGTCCGGCAACTTTTTCTCGGTTGATGCAGAAGGTTCTAGGACACATTCCACCACATCGTTTGGCATTGTACATGGATGATATCTGTATTATAAGCAAAACGTTTGAAGAACATTTGGTAAATCTCCAGGGAGTATTTGATGCATTGCGACAGCATGGATTACGAGTAAAAGCTAAGAAATGTGCTTCGAAAATGAAAGAAGTGAAATTTCTTGGATACAAAGTTTGCAACAAGGGTGTGCAGCCAGAGGAACATAAAATAAAGGCAATTCGTGCATGGGTTGCACCAACTTGTCTTAAAGAGGTGCAAATGTTTTTGGGTGCAGTTGGGTGGTATCGAAAGTTTATCAAGGATTTTAGTACAATTGCTCGACCATTAACATGGCTTTTGGAGAAAAATGTTACATTCACTTGGGGTAAGGAGCAAGATGATGCATTCAATACACTAAGACATGAGTTGGTTAAAGCTCCAGTATTAGCCCATCCTGACCCCACTCGATCTTCTGTTGTTACCACGGATGCAAGTAAAGTGGGTCTGGGTGGTGAACTATTAAAAGAAGATGCACAAGGACAATTACATCCGGTTGCATATTTCAGTCGTGCATTGACCAAACGAGAACGTTCATATCCAACTTATGACAGAGAAGTGATGGCTATGCGAGACACGCTTAAGTATTTTCGGTATTATCTGTTAGGAGCGCAAGTAGTGATGAGGACCGACCACAAACCTCTTCTAAAGATCCTGGAACAGAAAGGTCCATTTGGACGAAGAGCGACATTGATAAGAGATATAGCAGAATTCGAACCACGCATAGAGTTTATTCGAGGGCAGGGTAATCACATGGCAGATGCTCTTAGTCGGATCGGATGGAATGTCAAGTGGGAAGAGAGAGATGAGGATACTAGTAAAGTGGCTACTATTGGTGGCTCTCAAGACGAGATTGGTCCTTGCAAGGATGTAAGGTTGGACATAAATGATTTCCAATTGCAGCAAGAACGTGACCCAACCCTTAAGCCACATATTTCCACTCACCGAAACGAACATGGTTTATTCACACGTAATCATAAGAAGCAAGTATTACTTCCAGCATCGCTTGTTCCCACCATATTATTATTAGCTCATGACGAAACAAGGCACCAAGTAGCAGATAAAATGCTTGCAAGAATTGAACCTCATTATTGGTGGCCAAGGATGAAAGCAGAAGTAGAGAACTATGCAAGAACGTGCCAACGCTGTGCTGCTACTCTTGCCCATGCACATAGAAAAGCACCCATTCATCAACGACCAAAAGAAGAGAAACCATTTGCGTTGATAGAAGTAGATCTCAAGGGTCCATTACCGAGAACGAAAGAGGGATTTGACAATATGGTTGTGATAACAGATCCATGTGCAAAATATGCAGAGATGCATCCAATTCGAGGACAAACCAGCCATGTTGTTTGTAAGACACTCTTGGGTTGGATATCAAGATATGGTTTACCAAACAAAGTGCACTCTGACAATGGACCTTGTTTCATGAAAACGCGGGTGTAGAACGGATTAATCGTACGATGGGGGGAAGCACTCACAAAATTGGTATATAAACATCACAACCGATGGTCTCAACACCTACCTGACGTACAACTAGCTTACAACACAGCAGTTCAAACAAGTACAGGAGTTTTGCCGTACGAACTAGTTTTCAAGGAGCACCCGCGATCAAAATTCGAAATTATAACAGAGAAGATATCACCAGCAACGGTTAGAGAGAAAACGGAACGACTGCGCGAGACTGTTAGTGAGGTATTCCAAAAAGCACAAGAGTCCGATGCCAAGTTAGCGGGAAAACGCAGAGAACGGTACAACAGTAAAACTTCGTTTAAATCGTGCATGGGGATGGGTCAACAAGTTTGGAAAAGAAATTTACGAGCAAAAACATTTGCAGATCGGTGGACGGAACCCTGTGTCGTGGTAAAGCCCACGTCGGTAACCAAAATATCTTATGTAGTGAGAAGGAATAATGGAACTAAAGAAGAAGTTGTCCATTACAATTACCTTAAACCTTATCAGATTCGACCTGTCAAGAAACCAAAGTCAAGGAATCCACCAAAGAAGAATGGGGTCGGACACCCAGCACTGGGTACCAGTGAGGACAGTGAATCTGACAGCAGAGAAGAGGAAATGCAACCAGAGAGAAGATATCCAGAAAGAATTCAAAGACTTCCAGAAAAATACAGATAATACTTTTAAAGGGGAGTGGTGTGATATTTTGACATTTATTGTTACATTGAAATAAATACTCGTAAATAGCAAGCCTGTTTGCAGGCTATTAGGCATAGACCTTCGGGCTTAATAGTTAACTTGAAGACTATGACTATTATTGTACATGTGTTCGGAGTAATACAATATATAAATTTACAATATTTCGTGTGAACCGCGAAAGCTTGGGTTCTAACGTAAATAAATATGGCGGATTTAGAAAATATACAGTATTTGCATATATGTAAATGTTTTATGGATACAGAAGCAAGATATTGAACAGTTCAGGTGCAGTACACTTTATTTTAACTGCTATTTAGATAGAATACTATTGTTGTCGAATTGAATTTGTCCTAAAGCCCGTGGTTGTATAATGTGATATAACAAAGCCAGGAAAACTACAATTGTCTCGAACATTTTTATATAAATTATTAATAAGTAATAGCATGATTTCTCGTGAAATTTGGATAAACATGCATTCGTGAGTTTTTCAAAGACCTCAAATAGCACTCTTCCTTCGGACTCGTGCTATTTTGAAGGTTTTGAAGAACGCACTCGTGCATGTTACATCAAAATTGCACTCGAAACTATGCTATTACCTGCACTAATAAATTGTAGCAACTTATGTAATAATTTATTCAAAATTGTAAAGTCCGCTGCTTTTTTTCAGATTCTCTTCAGAATTGGAGGTTATATAATGAGTAAACTATCTATTTATCTACCTAGATCTAGAAGTAATTGTAATCGAGTATTCAATTGATGAAATTTAAAGCTCTGGAGGTCTAGCGTTACGATTCATATGTCTCTATGTCTATGTTCATATGTCTAGCGTTAAGGTCCATACAGATCGGACGCGATTCGACAACGCGACGCGAATTTTCAGTTTTTAAAAACAAATAAAACCGTCAACGGATAAAAAATTTACAAGATATGCAGACCAAATAGCTAAAATTGCTCAAGTGGTTCCGAATATTTGAAAAACATAGAAAAAGATTGAAGTTAAATGTCATTGAAATTTGAAAATTCGCGTCGCGTTGCCAAATCACGTCCGGTCTGTATGGACCTTTACAATTCATATGCCTCAATTAAAAATAATAATTACCTCGGTACATGAAAGAAAACAGACTGAATCAAGAATTAATACTGAATAACACTTTTCATTTGTATAAGACACCTCGTGTATAGAAGAGAAAGAATACGTTGATATAGGATATATACGGAATTTATATCGATATCTCTTTATGTGACAATCTCTTGTAGTTTGTCATTTATTATCTTTTGTTCTCTCCGAGTTAATGTTGGCCCAGCTTTTTTCCCCACTTTGAACTCGATTAATCAATAAAACAATTATTATCAAATTATTTGCCAGTAAAACAAAACATGTTACTGAAATTGAAATTGACGATAAAATTATTCGCAACGATGAAAATATATCTGAAGCTTTTAATGAATTATTTATTAATATTGGGCCTAAACTAGCTTCTGAAGTTTCAAATCAGTCAACAAACAAGGTAGAAACTTATTTGGTAAACAACAAGTTAATTATTCAATCCCTTCGTGTTATGTTTATTCCAGTGGATAATGTTTTGAAAACTCTAAGACGTCTAAATGTTTCGAAAGGCGCTGGTCTTGAATCTTGATAAAATTCCGGCTAAAATGCTACGCATTGCTGCAGATATAATTGCACCCTCTTTAACTTATATTTTTAATCTATTACTTTCAACTGGTCAGAGTGTTTGTAGAAATTTGGAAATATGCGAAAGTTCTACCAATTTATAAGGAAGGCAACAAACGAACTTTGGGAAATTATAGACCAATATCAATTCTACCGATAATA